CCGCGGCGGCGCCGGGCGCGGGGCCGGGCGCGGGGCCGGGCCGCAGCTCCCGCCGAGGCGGCCGCTCGTCGCCGAGTTTTGACGAGATTTATTGGCTGCCTCGCGCCGAGCCACGCTTGAGTAACCCGAGCTGCTGCGCGCCGCGGAGGAGCCCGCGGGGGGAGCGCCGCTCCCGAGCAGCCTTTAGTCTTCCAGCCCTCCAACCGTCACTACAGCGTCGGAAGCTGCCGGGTCACAGCCGTTCGCTTTGGAAAATTGGCGATGTTGGGTGCTAGAGATCGATTACCCTCGTAATCTGCCCCCCCACCTCCTCCTGCTCACCCCACCCCTGCCCGCCCCAGACAATAGCGGCCGAGGTTCCCCCCGGAGGAAAAGAGAAAAGAAAGCGAGGAAGCAAAGAAAGAAAAGAAAGAAACTGGGGGATGGATCTGACTCCGGGAGGAAAAGCGCGTGTCCAGCAGCGGTGCTAATGGAAGCGGTTTCGGAGCTGCAGAGGACGATGCTTTGCCACACAGGGTAGCCGGCTCGGCGCTCTGGGCGGGAGCCCCGTAGGAGACCCTCGAGAAGTCCCTGTGCACGGAGCGCCGGCGATCCCTACAAACATGCCTGTTCGCAGGGGTCATGTGGCACCGCAGAATACGTTTCTGGGCACAATCATACGCAAATTTGAAGGGCAAAGTAAGTTCTCTCTTTCTCTCTATTTTGCTACTGTAGTTCGATTCTGCTTATGACTAAATGGACAGCAACTCTGGACTATTTTAAGTTTGTAGCTTGGAGAGGAAAACCCTGGAGGTGAGGAGGTGATCCCTGGCAGGGGAGAAATTGTTTCTCATCTAGAATACAGTTTATAGTCTTGAATTATTGTTATTTTTTTTCCCACTTAGAAGGATAATTTTTATCTTTGACTGTATCCATATTGCGCAGCTATAGAAGTTACACCTCTTACCTTCCTCTGTACCAGTGAGCTGGTTCTGAAGTAGAACACAAAATACCGCTGCCTATGCAATGTCTAAGAAAATCAGCTATGTACTGTTGTGGTGCTTATTATTATCACTGTCTTTCTAAAATAAAGGAGAACGGGCGGACTTTGATTTAGAGGAGACAGATAATATGCAGAGGAGTTATTAAAGGGAAAGCACACTCTTACCTTGTTGTCATGACTGCATTTTAAAATAGCTGTCAAATATTTTTGCTTTGCTTATGGAAGCCTAAAATATCCATCAAACCAGTGCAAATGCCTTCTCAGTGAGATCTTTTCCAATGCAGTAGTTTACTACCTGTCAGAGAGGCAGAAGCTGAAGTGTTTTTCTTGGCCAGAACTTGGTCTCACTGTTATCAATAAAAAAGAAAACTTGATGCTTAATTTGTATAGAAAGAGCAGTTCTGATATATGTACACTTATTTAAATATTTAGCATATATTTTTTATCAGTCTACTGGAACCTCTCATAGCTAACTCGAGTTTATATACTTGCTCTGCCCTCTTATAAAAGCACCTGCTACGAATTTAGTATTTAGGTTATTTCAGAATAAAATAAAGACAGCGTTTGTAGCCCTTACTTATCTAAATGATAAGCCAGTATTGCTACTTGTTTAATACTTTACACATTAAACTATTTACAGTTGAAGAGAATAAAGCAATATCTAGCAAATTATCAAGTGACAGTGAAAATTCAGAACGATTGAAAAACAGCAGGAAAAAAAAGTGAGAATAATATATATATCTTTCTCTCTGAATATTTTTGAATATTCAAAGACAGGATCCTTAAAATTTTGAATACTTTTACTGATATACACACATCAGCAGTCTTTTGAAGTCTTTTGTTAATGTGGCAAAGATTGTCTGAAGTCAAGGAATCTACTAGTGTGATTAAGGCCAGTGGAAATTGGTCCGTTATTAGCAATAAATGTACCAAAGCTGCATATTCATATTTAAAATTGTCACACTGTGTTGTAGTGCTAACAAATGAAATAAGAGTTGAAAGACAACTGTATACCTTTTTCCCGAGGGGGGTTTGGAAAAGGATCCTTGACTAAGGCACAGAACTTCAGTGCAATATCAAATGTATTTCCAGCACAACAATCTGATTTTGGTGTAATTTCATACTTTTTCTTTTTTTACCAAGGAATATTTGTTTCATATATATAATTTCAAAAGCAACCATCGATGAGAACAGTTTTTCTTGAATTTCTAAATAGTTTTGTTAAAATACTGACCATCAGACAGCTCCATTTAAAAAAGCCCACTGACTAGACTGAGATGGCTGGGCCTGATCCTAACTAGCCTTTCACCTGACAGAAACCATCTTCCCTACCCCCACAAATAGAGAGTCTACTAACTTCTCAAAGTAGTTTCCCTGGAGTTATTGTTCATAGGATGGAGCTCATCAGCTGGGCTTCTTTAAAGCTAAAAAGACAAAAACAGGTTGTACAAGTCTTTCTGCAAAGCTCTCTTTGACCTCAAACTTTTATTTCCTTAAAAGACAATCAAGGGTCATCTTTAATGTAGTCTAACTTTACTGAAGTTTCTTTAAAACCTAGGGATCGAATTAACTACATTAAATAACTGCAAATCTCTACATTCCAAGCATCCCAGTGGAAAAAAAAATGTAGTTGTTCAGCATCCATCCATGCAATTGATGTTATATGAAATGTTGAAAGAGTACTAAAAAATGCATCACTTTCTTTTATTGCAGATAAAAAATTCATCATTGCTAATGCTAGAGTGCAGAACTGTGCTATCATCTACTGCAATGACGGGTTCTGTGAGATGACTGGATTCTCCAGGCCAGATGTCATGCAGAAACCTTGCACCTGTGATTTTCTTCATGGACCAGAGACCAAAAGACATCATATTGCCCAAATTGCCCAAGCACTGCTTGGGTCAGAGGAGAGGAAAGTAGAAGTCACCTATTATCACAAAGATGGTAAAGTGTCTTTTTATTTTCATTATTTTTTGTTTGTTTGAGCTGCTGGCTGTAGAAGTGTTTGAGAATGATTGACCCTTAGCTGGAACAGTGTTGGAAGTTTTGGACCCTAAGTCCAGAGCAGGGATATGGACACCCACCTGGGGAGGCTGACTCTGAAGGCGCTGGGGTGTCTCCAGTCTGGCACTGCTCAGTGTCACGGCTGACTAAAGTGAGCGCTGTACCTGCAAGTGTTGAACCCAAGTCCTTCTCTCAGCTCAGCTGGTATAAATCAGGGGTAAATGTATCAAAGTAACCAGCTCCCCACTCATGAAAAGATAGGAAATAGCATCAAGGGAGCATCCTGTGGATGGTAATTCTTATGAGCTCTTTCATCTCAAAGAAGGTAGAAGTCAAATTTCAGAGGACTCCACTAGCATCTCACAAATGGAACAGTGACATAATTCAAATGTGATATTTTACTGACTTAAAATTAATAAAATTTGGCCTGATAAAGTAAACTATAACTTTAAAAAGTATTAATTTATAAAGAAAGGTACAAGTCTTTTTCAGAGATGAGATACTGTGTAGTTGGTGCAACTACATTTAAGTCACAGGAGTTGTCCCAGAATTATGTAAAAATTCACAATACAAATTAAAGGGTTAAACTAAGAGGAGCTTTCCCATTTTTTCAGTGAAGATTCAATGTAATCCATTAACGCTATTACTGATATAAGTAATCTGCTGTGCTGATACTTTTTCTCCGCTGAGAACATAAAATGAATGTGTGTAGTTGCAGATTTAGCAAATGCATAAGCATGAAACCTAATTATGACACTTTACAGTTATATGGAGGCCGTTTTTTTTTTCTTGATTACCCAGTGTTTTTTATATGAATGTCTTTCAAACAAATCCAAGCAATGAAAAAGGACAGTGTACCTTATCCTATCACTTGCTGTGTATATACTCGAGGGAGAAGGAAAAGGAAATTCATATTCAAATGCTGAGCTTAAATTAGTTCTGGACAAGTGCCAGTGCGTTGTTTGCATCAATTTTAGAATCACATGCAATGGATGCTCTCACATTTTAAAGTTGCAGAGTTAAATCCTGTTCTTAGTTATTCTGTTGTTATCTCAGAAACACTTAAGTAACATTATTTTTAGCTTAGGCTGCTATAATTCAGATAGAATTCACACCAGCTATTCTGCCCACACTGCCAGTATTGAAGCATATTCCCTTTAGAGACTATATGCCTATTAAAGTCTTTATTTCTTTGATCTGTTTTGGTGGTCTGGATCAGATTTTGGTCAAGATCTGTTGTTGTAGTTGGGCCCTGATTGTAGATTTCTCAGGAAAGTTGACACTGTGTTGTACACATCTATCCTGTGTTTGTGTTAACTTGACATTTGTTAAAAATAATATCGCAAAAGGGGAATGTTGTTGCTAACTTTAACAGCCACCAGCCTGGAGCATTGTTTTGAGATCTGGTCACTCAAAAGTGCTTCAGTCTCCCTATTTCCTAGTATCTTGGGAAAGACACTTAAATAAAGCACTGCGTATCTGTCAGTTACTGTTAATATATGTATTTCAAAAATGCTGAATTCTGACATCATGTGCCATGCCATGATCAGTTACATAAAAACAAAGCAGAATTGATCATTAAAATCATCATAGTTTTTGTAAATTTTGAATTTTGAAGCACATTAGAAATGACTGTTATAGTTTATTCAGTGTAAACAATCCTCTGCATACAGCTTTTCAATAATTTTGCTTCTGTGATTATAATTAGATTAAAAGATGAATATGTTAAAACTAATACCGTGAGTATATTATGACATCTCTAAAGGTTAAGGCATTTCAAAAGCTACAGACAATATTTCTAAACAAATAAGTTTTACGAGTCAAAATGTCAGAATGAGTGAATGAAGTGTCGATATACACTATGTGTGCCACTACTTAGAAGTAATATTTTGAAATTAAATAAATTTAAAGCATCAAGACAGTGATTTGATGCAAAAAAAATTGCCAAAAGCAGGATAGTTCTGACACTCAAAAATATGACATCTTGATCAAACTTATTGTTTTGTTCCACATAATGTTCAAACTTCCTCATAAAATAGCAGAAAGATTGAAAGTTTATGTGTGTGTGTGATATTATAAAATGGAAGTACATGTATGATGGATTTACTTAATTTTAGTAAACATGTTAGTTACTTTAAATTACTGAAGAGTTGTACTTCACTTTTCATCTAAGCTTTGTGAACATACTTTGTTTGGACTGGATGCAAGGTAGTGAAGTAATGGCAGCTAACAGAGACTTTCTCTAGGTCCTGAAACAGGATGAATTTAACGAATTTTCTAAAACACTGTGAGTTTAGTGCTTGATTAATTGCATAATTCTGCATTGTGTGTTGTGAGTGAATATGAATATACTTTCACAAAGTGAATACCAGAGCTAGAAATTTAGTGCTTTCCATGTGAGTAACTCAAATGAATATCCAGTGAAGTACCAACTGCTTAGAAGTTTAATTTGACATCATGCATATAAACATCCCGTAGCCACCCGCTATATACTTGTAAATGACTGTAATACTTAAGCCTATGGAGGAGGAAGACAGCTCGTGGCTTACAGGTTCCACGGACAGGGGGTTTCTGAAGACCACGTTACGCAGCCCAGTGAATTGCAAACAAAAGCTTATTTCATACCATCCTATCATTTACTCTATGTAAGCCTCTGATTATATTAAAAATTATTTTAGTATTTTAAATTAAAGCAAATGTCAGTGGGATCATATACTCCTTCACTTATAAAGGTAATCTAGCTACGGATATCCAGCAATGCAGATATCAGAGTCACTGTATAGGTAAAGCTTTTTCTTTTTTTAAATACTAAATATCACCCCTCTCTTAGTTTTAAAATGTCACAGCTTTAAAGTTCAACTTGAAAGGAAGTTTTTGCACTAGAAAAAAAGATACTGCACACATACTGGGAATTAGGATTCTGATGTTCTCAGTTCATCTATATTCTACTTCTCAAGCTGAATAAACTGCATGATTTTAAGCTTTAAACATCTTGAAGATGAAAGATTGAATGCTGCTGTTCACTGCTGTATTTTTTAGGCCAGATCACACATTTGAAGAGAAGGGGCTAGTGTGGGAAAATTTGCGTAGCAGGGTGATTTTCAGAAAATGGCAGCTGTTTGAAGCTGCCCTGCTTCAAAAACAGCCGACAGAAGGTGCAATGGTCAAAGGCGATCACAAATTCAGTGTCTCCTGGTTTTCTAAAGGGGCTACCTAGGTGGGGCATGTTCTCCTTTTCATTGCACATAACAAGGAGGGTGGAAACAGGGTGAGTGTTCATGGTAGTTCTGTGGCGTTGTTTAGATGGGATGCCAGCATTCCTTACACAACCAGCTGGCCACATCCCAACACCACCAACACCTTATGTTCACAGAAGTTTTGAACAGTTGCAGCTTAAAAGCCTTACTAGCTTCTCATGTACTATTTGTATCAGAATACGACTGCTAACGTAGCCTAGATTTTCTGTTACTTTCTCTTCACTCATTTAACCAGAGTATATACACATTTCAGATCGTGCAGGCAAAGTTCTAATCCTCTGTCCCTCTACAGTGGCTCCATGGTAGGCAATAACGTAGTCATCAAAAGAACTAATGGCTACTGAGAAAAAGGTCAATGTCAACAGGTAGATGTCAACCTTATGAATTGTAGCATCACAGGAAGCCCCATAAAAGTCAATAGGACTACTCAGGGGATTAAAGACTCAGTAAATTACTATTATTATTTTTAATATGTTTCATTCTAAAAATAGCAAAAAAATACATGCAAATCACAAGAACTATTATCTTTAAATACATTTGTTTAATCTTGACTGTTATGCATTAATATCTTGAGTCAAGAACTCTACTCTCATCTCAAAGTAACGGCAGAGTATGCCCCTACTATTTCACAACTTCATTTCCATGAGTTATATAGCTCTATGATCTATATTAGAGATAGTTGAAAGGAAGACATTGTTTATACAAAATAACAATTTTTATTTTAAAAAAGTTATTTGTGGTAAAAATGTGTGACAGATCTTCCTTTGAGGACTCTATTTTGCAGTTTAAGTCATTATTGCATAAATCATTCTTGACAGCTGTAAAATATTGCTTGAGGTGGTAAAGTTGCAAAGCGTTTGACATAAAAAGTATAATTATTTATGGATTGAGAATGGATACATGATAATCAGAAGGGATTGTACCACACTGAATATTTTTTCCTTCTACTATGTATTTTTGCAGACATCTTAAACTACATCTAAGCAGTTATCCTATGGAGTATAGTTGTTAGAATGAAGGAAGGAGATCACTTAATCTTATCCAATAAACAGCAGATAATCTAGGGATGAAAAGTATTACAGAAGGCTATAGGCTTGAATAGAGATAAGATCATTAGCAATATTTGCAGATTGTTTACAAACCTCACAAAGTAGTTGTCTTTTTATCACTTGTTTGCCTTTCATCAATTGAAAAAGCCACTGACAGATCCCTGTGTGTACCTTGAGTTCCCTTAGACTAATTCTAAGGTGAGGGTCAGCCAACCTGGTTTTGACTGCAGGTTCACTGCATCAACCAGAGCTCATTAGAAACAGAGGACAATGAAGAAGGAATCACTCAATAATATCTTGCTGTAGTAGTATTTCTTATGCTAAGAACTCCTATCTGATCGCATTTTGATAAAGGTTAATCCCTTTTCCAAAATCTTTTGATGTAAGTTTTCCCAAGCATTCTTTAAGAAATATCAGAACAAATCCAGAATGTTACTAAGGGTGCTGAACTACTGAGAATGGGTGACCTTTCTTCATTTCCTTAGCGACCTATTTGCTTCTACCTCAGGTTTCAACGCTTGTCCTTGATCTCCTTCAGCATCGCTATGCTTGCAGCAGAAAGCACCTCTGCAACCCATCCTCATTCAGTTAAAGTTTCTATGCCTGGCTACAACTGTGGGCTATTTCTTACTCACATGGGACTTAACATAATGTTATAGCAGCTTTCAGACATATTAAGCTGGTCTTATCTAGGGGCCAATCTCAGCTACCTTC